TTAAAGAGTCGAAATAGGATGAACGGATCATATAAACCCGAAGGCAAATATTATACAAGCCCAAACGAAAAAGTATAAATAAGTCTAAATTGAAAACAACGTACAAACCTATGATATCGTTGGATAAAAACCGCTATTTTCATACGTGTGCATGCAAAACAAATTTCTTAGTAGAGTGGTCTAAATACAGCACAAACTAAAAAAAAGTGGAATGTAAAATCGTAACAATAACTAGATTTGTAATTGCTAGCAATAACGGATGGCACCCTCGTCCCCCCATTGCCAGGCGAGCGGCAGCCAATTTGGTCATTTCAATGTCGAAAGTCGCATCTAGACCTGCCAGTTATCATAACACAAATTTGATAGACAGGTTAGAATATTTTGAATTTTTTTGGCATTTGGGCCGTTTCCGTGGTAACGGTGGCCATTTTGAAAATTCCAAAATTATATTTCAATTCTGCACATGCCAGTTAACATTTCTGTAAAGTTTCATAAAGTTTGGTGTATTTGAATTTTTTGTAATTTCCATGGTAACGGTAGCCATTTTAAAAATTCCAAAGACAAATGTCACTTTGACTCATTAAATGTAACCTACCGATAAAGTTTCTATGGGTTTAATCTTATATTCTTGAAGAAAATGCAGCTTTTGTATATTTTCCCATAGGGCTAATGTTAAACTTTCGCCCTGTTTCCATGACAATGTCGGCCATTTGGGAATTTTTAAATACAAATTTTTTATCTAATAAAATTGAGAATGGAAATGGGGAATGTGTCAAAGAGACAACAACCCGACCATAGAACAGACAACAGCAGAAGGTCACCAACAGGTCTTCAATGCAGCGAGAAATTCCCGCACCCGGAGGCGTCCTTCAGCTGGCCCCTAAACAAATATATATACTAGTTCAGTGATAATGAACGCCATACTAAACTCCAAATTGTACACAAGAAACTAAAATTAAAAATAATACAAGACTAACAAAGGCTAGAGGCTCCTGACTTGGGACAGGCGCAAAAATGCGGCGGGGTTAAACATGTTTATGAGATCTCAACCCTCCCCCTATACCTCTAGCCAATGTAGAAAAGTAAACGCATAACAATACGCACATTAAAATAAGCATACCAGTTAACATTTCAATAAAGTTTCGACCAGTTGAATCTTATAATGAAAGATTTGGATTTTGGATTTTTTTTTACATTTTTGAGGTTTCCATGGAAACGGTGGCCATCTTGGAAAATTCCATAGTCAGATGCACAACTTCACATGGTGCTTTACATTATATCATAGTTTCATCAACATTGGTTCATTCATTTCCGAGAACTAGCGCGGACAAAAAAGTGTTGAAGAAAAATAAAAAGAAACTAGATTTGTAATTGCTAGCAATAACGGATGGCTACCTTCCACCATTGCCAGGCGAGCGGCAGCCATTTAGAAAATTCCAAAGTCAAAGAGTGCATCTACACAAGCAAATTTTAATTTTTGTATAGTTTCATTAAGTTTGGAGCATTTTGAACTTTTGGACATTTTTGCTGTTTCCATGATTACAGCGGCCATTTTGAAAATTCCAACTTCAAAATGCAACTCTGCCCATGCCAGTTACTATTTCTGTAAAGTTTCATCCAGTTTGCAGCATTTTCATTTTTTTTTTTGAAATTTTGGACATGTTTGTTGTTTCCATGGTTACAATGGATAATTCCAAAATTCTAAAAGCAGACATCTCATTGCCTCATATCATGTTATATATCAATACAGTTTCATTGACTTTAGTGAAATACTTTTTAAGAAAATGCTGATTTTATGCATTTTCACATAGGGTCAATGTAAAACTTGCCCCCAGTTTCCATGACAACGGCGGCCATTTTGGACTATCCAAATATTGTCTTGACATCTTAGCATACTGGGTAACATTTTCACAAAGTTTCATCCAGTTGGTTCTTATAATGAAAGAGTTAGAATTTTTGATATTTTAGCTGTTTCCATGGTAACGGCAGCCATTTTGAAAATTCCAAAGTCAAACTGCAAATCAGCACATGCCAGTTACCATTCTTGTTGAGTATCTTCCAGTTTGGAACACTTTGATTTTTTTCGCATTTTTGCTGTTTCCATGGAAACGGCGGCCATCTTTTACCATTCCATACCAAGGTGCACTACTTGAGATGGAGGTCATCATTATAGTAAAATTCCATCAACATCGGTCCATTAAATTCCGAGAAACACGACAGACAAAATGTGTGGAAGAAGAATAAAAAAAAAAAGAAACGTAGAATAACAATATGTCACCCCAACTCCGTTGAGGGTGCCATAAAAAAAGAAACGTAGAATAACAATATGTCACCCCAACTCCGTTGAGGGTGCCATAACAATATATCAGCCCTATTACCATAAGGGTGACATAAAAAAAGGAACAGAGGAAAAGCAATATGTCATCCGACATTGTCGATCGGGTGACATGATTAACAAAAATCCTAAGACAAAAAGTACAGATTTGAGAGGACTCACCGTTACCGCAGCTATTTCAAAGCCAATAACAACTAATTACAAATTAATGTACATAAGACTAGCACACCTGGTATTAAGTCTCTTTCCAATAATTTGACCTATAACCATAGGTTATATGTTAACATCTTGTTCATTAGTTTGGTCTTCTTAAAAAAAAGGCTCATAAAGAAAATAATATTTGGCACTGTTATGATAATTATGTCAAGTTTCAAGTTAAAAAGTTATTTGAAGTCTAGTTGCGAGTGAAAATGGTGAGTTGCGAGTTGCAAATAGTCGAATTACGAGTTATCAATGTCGAATTGCGAGTAATACGTAACCAATGCCGTGTTGTGAGGTACAAAAGTCGGTTTGCAGTTAAGAAAGTCGAAATTTATGTAACAAAAAGAGATGAATCTGCTGATTTTTTCTCGAAATTACGAAAACTAGCAAAATTAATAAAGGCGGGAGATACCTAGGGTACATACAAAATCATAAGTTGAACACATCTTCTTGATTTTTAACGTAACAAAGTTAATATGAAAATAATAAAGTCCGAGAACCCCTTATCAAGCGAAATGGCGAAATTTTTTAAATTGACATTTCTATAGAATATCTAAGAGAATGAATCAGCAACAAATGAAGAATCAATGTTCACGTGTAGGGATGGTTATACACGCATATATGACATGTTCTTTATATGAAGCAGCATTTTAAGCTCACATTACTAATTTCTAAATTAAACCTGACAGCCCATCTGATTTCAGTCATGTTGCAGTGATTTCCCTAATGCTACAATGAGACCAAAATGTTAACACTATTTTTGTCATCAAATCAATCTAGAAAAAAGAATTTATACTTAGCCCTTTTTTATTATTAGTAGTATTGTAGTGCACGTTCTGAAACAGGAGCAGCTTGGAGGAACTTGGAGGAGGTCAATCAAAGTTCAAATAAGTGACATTCCAGCAATTGTCAGAATGATGTCATCAGGAATGTTGAAACCTGAACCATAGGAATGTGTGGAATGTGTGTACTGATGTATTGTTGATTTTATGAATATTGGTTTAATTTTTTTGAACTAATAAATTTAAACAAGTAACATTCCAACAATTGTAAGAATGTTGTAACGTCAATCATAGGAATGCGTGTAAATAGTAAACATTGGTATACCTCTTTCAATAAAGTAACTAATTTTAAAAGAAAATGAATGAAAAGCAGATTCATGACTTTTTAACATTTACAGATCGACTTACAGATATATATACATTTTTCTTCAGCAGATACCTTAATCGTTGTTTGCTGTTGAAACTTAAAAACAGTTATTATCGAAAGGAAAGATTAATAGAAAAACGAAAATATGAAATTCTTTGTTCATTTATTGCACCTTAATTAAAAGTCAGCGTTCAAGGATAATGATAAAACCTTTATAACCTGCCTTTTTCGTTTAGTTTTGATCAGGATATCGTTGGGTAAAGATGTCCAGAAAGAATTCTAATGATCAGATAGACAGCTTTATTTTTGACACAAGCAAAAATTCAATGAACCGATCGAGTATAGCAGCTAGCCTGGAATCTTTGTATGAAAACTACAATGTTCACATACATACGTTAAAATGGTCAGGAGTTGCGATATTACTATCCATGATATTAGCAACGCTCGTCCTTACAACTGATATTTATTCATCCGTTCACCTTCCAAGTCATAATTCCTCTGACTGCATCCAAATTAAGACTTGTGGACCAAATATTTGTAAATTTGTAAAACAGATCAATCTTCCTCACAACTATATTCTTAGTATTTGTGAACAATATAATGAGGTAGATATTAGAGAATTCATCAGAGGGAAGCCAACGAATAATGCCGTTCAACTTAACATTGATCAACTACGCTACATAAAACAAATTCTACCAACAATATTGAAAAATGCTAAGAGGAGAAATTAATCGATTTCTTCACGCATGAATATTTTAGCTAGAAAACTATATTATGTTCCATGAATTTCAAGTATGTGAATAATTTATAGAACAATACCAAGTATGTGAATAATGTTAACTATTTGACCATTAAATATATATATTCCATGAAATTCGAAGCTAATGTAGTTCATAAGAAAAACCTAAGATGGACCAACAAGAAAAGAACCGTCTGGTCTGGCACTCATATACATTATATATGTTTAAATTTGCTGAAAATATTATAAAACATACTAGGAAATTAGCAAAAGAACATTGTTATGGATGTGAAGTGGATCACCCTAGTCAAAGACACCATACTTGCATTATGTGGACAGACGAAGAACATTTAAATCTATACTTTGATGAAGCCTTTAATTCAATGAAGACAGAAACCATTACAGCTCAGTGGAAGGAGGAAATTGAACAATTAAATATACCAGAATTATTGATGACCAGGTTGTTTTCATTTCTTGAAAAAGAAGCACCTTCACGGGAAGCAATACAAGTCACGGCAGAAAGAATGAGAGCGTTGGAGGAACGTTTTTTTATAACTAATAAAGTGACGTTTAAATTGATGTGACAATTTTTTTTTATGTGACTGCTCAGTAAACAACATATTGTGACTTTTGTTTTATCATATAATAAAATACAATATATATAACTGCTTTTGTTTTATTCTTTTCACTTTTAGTATAGTGTTTCAGTTGTCGCTTCAGATAATGAATGACCAATACAAGGTCCTCGAAAAAATATATTATCAGTTTTCCCAAGGTGGTGCATATGTCGGTCCTGATAAATTGTACAGAATATTGAAATCCAAAGGTATAACAATAGGTAGACATCGCGTTCGAAAATGGCTACAGGATCAAGACAGTTACAGTCTGCAAAAACCAGCTCGAAAGTCTTTTCGTAAAGCACGAGTGGTAGTATCTGGTATTGACGACCAATTCGACGCTGATTTAGCGAACATGTCTAATTTAAAAGACTCCAACGATCAGTTTTCCCAGCTGTTGTTTGTTATAGACATCTTCAGTAAGTACCTCTGGATCCAGCCTCTGAAAAATAAAACAGCAAAAGAAGTGGTTAGAGGATTCCAAGTAATATTCAAGAATGGAAGAAAGTGTAATAAATTAAGAACGGATAATGGGACGGAGTTCACCTCTAACGTTTCAAAGTCATATTTTCAAAACGAAGGCATATATCATTTCACAACACAAAATTCAAATACAAAGGCAAATATATGCGAACGTGTCATCAAAACTATAAAAACCAAAATGTATAGATATTTCACAGAGAACAGAACATATCGATATATTGATGTATTACAAGATTTAACGTCAAGCTATAATGCAACACCACATCGAACTTTGAATAATATTGCTCCGAAAGATGTAAACAGTAATAACGAAGCGGATATTTGGGCACACATGTATTTGAAAGCGAAGACGTCAAATAAGGGACTCAAACCCTATCATTTTAGAATAAATGATTTAGTTAGAATTGCAAGTAAGAATTCAACATTTGAAAGATCATATGATGAGCACTTTACCCGAGAAATTTTTAAAGTACGTAAACGCTTTCGCATGCAAGGAATACCGATGTATCGTTTAAAATCATTTTTAGACACGGCAGGCGTCATTCGAGGCAACTTTTATGAAAATGAGATGCAGAAAGTTCATAAAAATGAAGATAGTTTATGGTATATAGAAAAAAAAATACGCAAACGTAAGAGAAAAGGTATCACTGAATGGCTTGTAAAATTTGAAGGGTGGCCAAAGGAATATAACCAATGGGTAGCTGAACAAGACATCACAGACAAGGCTGATAGCTAAACATGAGCATGTATGTAATTTTAAGTAGCGATAAGTCCATGAAATATTTTCCAAATAACAAACCTTACAGGTTTAGATCACATTTAAGTTCACCTTTAGTACTTGACGGAACGTGGAGGGTTGGACTCGTGGAAGCTGATATTACATCAACATCATCAATACAAGATTCGTTATACTTACATTCAAATGTATGTGAGGAATCGATCGTTGATGGAGAAAAAAAAGGAGTTCTGAGACGACTGACACCTACTGCTATTGGAGATTGGACTATCATCATGGATACGCCCCATTACATGCCTGTAAAAGTAAAAGAGATCTACAACATAGAAATTATTATAACAAATGACAATGACGATTTATCTTCATTTATAGACAGACCTTCTACAGTCACACTTCATTTTAAGTCATTTCCATTTTCATGAATATGGATTTAAGTAGAATGTATATCCCTAATCCTAAAAAATGGATACAATTTTATGATGCAATTGGGAAACAAAAATATAACCCATCTGCAAATCTGAAAAAACAAGCTTACAATAACCAAGTTGGTGGATCATTAACTGGAACATCAAAACCGTTTATGATTCCTGTGGGTACAATGTCCGCAAACAAGGCTGATTTTTCGAAAGATGTCAAGGTCAAATTAGTGTCAACAAGCGAACAATTTCTCGAACAAGCCAAAGAAGAAGTCGGAGACACACACGGTTTGAAAAGAAAAGGATCGAAACAAATTATTCATTCTACAAAACAACCTCGACAAAGTAAGACGAAGTTAAATAAGGAGAAAGGCAAACCGAGAAAAAATCCCAGGCCAGCAAAACAAACGAAGTCAGGTCTTTCACAAAAACCTAAATTCATATATAAAGATATTTTAAGTAAAAAATAATGGCTTCGTTTACCACCGACGAAATGCAAGAGGCACAACCAAGTGGACTTGACATTTTCTCTATCCCTCCTTATCAGACGGCCGTGGAGCGTATGTATTATCAAGACGTTCGAACTAATTCACAATTGAGTGGAAACACACCCTTAGAATTTAACGTTTCTGGACAAAACGGGTTAGAATATGTTGATTTGAAGAGAACAAAATTGTATGTAAAAGCTAAAATAAGGAAAGCAGATGGATCTTCTTTAACAGATACGGAATATGTTGGACCAGTGAATTTGTTTTTACACGCAATGTTTGCACAAGTAGACGTTGCATTACAGGGTAAACTTATTTCGACAGCTACCAACCAATATCCATATAAGGCAATGATACAAACATTGTTGTCTTATGGAAGTGATGCTAAAAAAACTCAATTGGGTGCACAGCTTTGGAAGAAAGACACACCCGGATATGTTGATGCCAATGATGTAAAGAATTCTGGAAATCAGGCTTTGTATGAGCGCTTTAAGTTATTTGCAGGATCAAAAACATGTGACATGGAAGGTCCCTTACTTAACGACCTTTGTAGTATTGATCGCTTTATAATTAATCAAGTACCTATCAGTGTAAAATTGTACAGATCAAGACCAGATTTTTGTCTCGTAACAGCAGAAGAAAATCCAAATTTCGAAGTGGTCATTGAAGATATCGTTCTGAAAGTCTGTAAATTACAGATAAACCCAGCAGTGATAGTGGCTCAAGCTCAAAAATTACAATCAACCAATGCAAGATACCCCTTCACAAAATCTCAGATCATACCTATGAACATTCCAAGTGGTACTTTGAATATTAACTTTCCAGATTTATTTCTTGGGTCATGTCCAGCCCGAGTTGTAATTGGATTTGTTGATGCCGAAGCTGCTGCAGGTAGTTACATCACAAACCCCTTCAACTTTGAGCATTTTAACCTGAAAAACATTGGATTATACGTGAATAACATACCCGTTTCAGGTAACATTTTACAGATCAATTTTGACGCTACCACCGGTCGAACGATCATACCGGCATATACAAAATTATTCCAAATAACAGAAAAAGACACTCGAGATTCTGGTAATCAAATCACCCGAGATGACTTTGCTAAAGGATATGCATTGTACTGCTTCGAATTAGAACCAGAATTTGGAGAAAGTGCACACTATTTAACCTTAATAAAACAAGGAAATGTCAGACTAGAAGCTCAGTTTGGTACTGCTCTATCAAAAGCAATCACCTGTTTCATATATTCAGAACAACAGGGGATGTTTGGTATAACGGCAACTCGCACTATCGAAATAGAATGAATACCAATCAGTTGAAAAGTATTATTTCCTGTGACGCAGATTTAAAGAAACGAGTGGTTGGTATTTTTGCCTCAGATCAATTACCCAATAATGTACGTGAACTAACTGGATTAATTGTAAACACGGATCCAATATCTAAACCAGGTCAACACTGGATTGCCTTTTATGTGAACAAACAGCAAGAGCTAGAATGTTTCGATTCGTATGGCAATTCGTCAGATCTATATTCTTCTTCAATCAAACATTTCATAAGAAGATATGACAAAGTGACATTTAACAATAAACGTCTCCAGGGAGACAAGACGTCTGTGTGTGGACAATATTGTGTTTTTTTTCTATGGTGTCGTATCAAAGAAAGGCTGTCGATTGTAAAAATGGGAGAGCTTTTTACAAGTGACTATGACTTAAATGATCGATTTGTATTCGATTTTGTAAATGATAAATTGTCTCGATGTTTTATGCTTGTAGAACAATCTCAGATATGTATCAGTAAAAATAAATGTTAATAAAAAATATGACTAACCTCTATACTTGTTTCTCATTTATCTATAAAAAAACAAACATTCACTATACATGTTACCTTATTATTACTTCAACCTTCAAACAGGATGGAAGGCTTGAAAAAACAGCACGCAACATTAAAATTCGAATCACCTACATCCATTTTTATGGTAGGTCCTTCCGGATCTGGTAAGACCGTGTTGACAAAACACCTTCTAGAACAAGCAGATGGGATGTTTCAAACTCCACCCTCAAGTATATTTTTCTGCTATTCGATTTGGCAACCATTGTATTCTGAAATGCAACAGAGTGTATCATCCATCTTATTTCACAAGGGTCTTCCCACCATGGACCAGATAAATGAATGGGGAAGTGAACAGGGACATAAACTGCTAGTATTTGACGATCTTATGATAGAAGCAGCTGATAGTATGGCATTAGTGCATATTCTTTGTGTTGGCTCTCATCATCATAATATAACAATTCTTCATTTACTTCAAAACGCCTTCCCAAAATCAAAATCAATGCGGACGGCTTCATTGTCCGTTCATTATTTCATACTCATGAAAACAAAAAGAGACCTTTTACAAATCAATACTTTAGGTAGACAAATATTTCCTGGAAAATTGAAATACTTTATGGATGCTTACAATAAATCAACGAGTAAACCGTTTGGTTACTTGGTTCTTGATTTAAGTCTCAAAAGCGACGAACAATATCAGTTGCGTACTAACATTCTACCAGGACAGAACCCCATTGTCTATCTTCCTGAAAAATGAAGAAGTATGAAGCTTTAGTCAAGTATTTAATGGAATCAAAACAAAGGAAAAAAGTTATATCAACCTTATCAAAGACCCAACTACAGGTCGTTACAGAAATTGTTTTCAACGTTATACAAGGAGTATGTCCTCTCTCAGATAACGATATAAATACGCTAAGAAGACACAAAGCAGCCATTCGTAGATTAACCGTTTCGAACTTAACACTGAAAGAAAGACGGATTCGTTTGCAGAACATCAGTAGAGTTTTACCAATTTTACTTACATCATATATGAAATATGTCGCGTGAAATGGTGCTTATTCCTAAATATAAGTATGATAGACTAATTAAAGACTTTGAAAACAAACAACTTAATGATGAACATCATGAAAAAAAACCCCAAGAAGACCATACTGAAGAAATTTTTACGACAGAAAACGACATTAAACCACAAAACAAGGACGATGTAGAAGGACAAAAAATAAATATGGATGAACATCAAGAGACAAAAATACACAACGAAAATTTAAATGGGGTTGAAACCGAAAAATCTCAGTCGTATCTAAAAATGAAACCTTCAACATTTCTTAAAGTCAAACAACTTAAAAGCACAATGAGGAATGCAGGGGTAAAAACTATGAAAAGGTCACAAACTAGAACAAAATGGTTGACATTTAAAATATGAGTGGTATGTCAGAAATGTTTACAATAGAATGTGTGGAATCCCTGATATTTATAAATATATAAGAGCCGCAATCTGTTCACATTATTATTCACATCGACCATGGCTGATAGTTTTCTTCAATTTTTAAAACAACGTTATCCTAGAGGAAACGAACAGCTCGAAAGATTATTTCAAGACTTTAACGAGACATTAAATAATTCTGAATTCAGCGAGTGTGATGAAGAAGCATTGGTTCGGGCAGCTGACGCATCAGAATCACTTTACAATCGGAAAAGGAAATCAAATGAAACGATTCAACAATGGGAAAAGAAAGCGCTATATCAATGTGACTTATGTGATGCAGAATTTACCAAAAAATTCAATCTATCGCGTCATATGAACACACACACAAGGAAGAGATATGAATGTCGTAAATGTAGCAAAACCCTATCACGTTTAGAGAACTTGAAAAGACACGAGAAAATGTGTATTCGCGCTTCAGAATCCCATAAAAAACAAAGACAATTTCCATGTAGACATTGTGGCTTACCTTTTGATACATATGAGGATCTTTTTGATCACATCAATGTAGAGCATCCATTGAATCAAACTGGAGGTCAGGCAGGGCAAGTCGTGGATCAAATGCATTCAATCACAAACAGTTCTCCTCCATTATCGTCTGATCCGTCTATCAGCACCTTGAATCCGCAAATCGAAAACATCAATCCTTTACCTACTGAAAAGAAAAGAAGGAATCATAGGGTTAAAAAATCTGCTTTGAACGATTCCGTTAATCAACTTGAAATAATTCCAGAAGGAAATGAAAAATACGATCTTCTACAATTTTTTTCGAACGTTAAAGGAGATATACAACAAATAGTCGAGTCTAGGAAAAAATATATGAGAGACATTAAATGGTATTTGAATGTCAAAGTTGAAATGGAACGTGATATTCAAGATGGTCAAACAGAAACAGTCTTACCCAGTTTTAGGAGTAGAAATTATGTGTCCTTGTTTAATGATGATCACTTAGAACATAATTTAAACGAGGCTTATCAAAAGATGCATCGAAGTCTTGAAGAATACATCAATAGAGGCTCAAATTGGATAATACGGAAAGTTGTACACTTAGAAGTAAGAACAGTAAAATACGCACCTATTAATGGTTCGTCATACATGCAGCTTCCTTCAACCATAAAACTGTGTAAAGGTGTAATCAACATTCAAAATGATGATAATAAATGCTTCCTCTGGTCTGTTTTGGCTGCAATTCATCCGACTGATAACAACGCTCATCGTGTAAATAAGTATAAACCGTTTGAAAATGAATTGAACACGACAGGAATTGATTTTCCTGTTCCAATTAAGCAGGTGGAAAAATTTGAAAAACTAAACAACCTTTCAATTAACGTTTTCGGATATGAAGGTGAACAGATTTTCCCTTTAGCTTTATCTAAATCAAGAAACAGCCATCAAAATATTGACTTGTTGTATTTATCAAACGATAAACAATCACACTACTGTTTGATTAAGAATCTTAATAGATTTTTAAGACAAACAAACCAAAATCATGCACATTTCTTTTGTCGACGGTGTTTGCATGGCTTTATAAGAGAAGACCTGCTTGCAAGTCATCAACCCTATTGTGATCAAATAGATTTTCAGAGAGTACAATATCCGAAAGAAGGCGACAATATTTTAGAATTTAATGACTTTTACAAAGCAATAAAAATAAGTTTCACCATCATAGCTGATTTTGAATGTTTTTCAAGAAAGATGGATACAAGTCTACCAAACCCGAAGAAATCATCGATTACACACGAAACGAAATTTGAACCATCGGGGTACTCCTACATAGTCCTATGTACGAACGATGATTATTCTAAACCACCTGTGGTTTATAGAGGAGATAGAGTCATAGAACACTTTTTTGAAGACATGGCTATCGAAGAGGAATATATCAATGACATACTTGGAGAACCTGAGCCTTTGATAATGAATGATGAAGCAGAACAAGCGTTTCAACTTATCACCAACTGTGAGGTTTGTCAGACACTTTTTGATGAAAATGTAATTAAAGTACGAGATCATGCACATCATGGAATAACCAGAGACCCCAGAAAAAAAGATTATACTAATTATCGTCTTGCATTATGTCAGCGGTGTAATTTAAGTCTAAAAGAACCATCATATATTCCTGTATTATTCCACAATGGTAAAAATTTTGATACACATTTACTACTACAAAAGGCTGATTGTTTTAAAGATAAGCCAATATCCTGTATTCCCAATAACATGGAAAAATACGTATCACTCACTATAGGAAATCTTCGCTTTTTGGACACATGTCAATTTCTAAATAGTTCTCTAGACACTCTAGTGAAAAATTTATCACAAGAAGGACCTACGCATTTTCGACAGTTCAAAAAAGCGTTTCCGTCTGAGGACATAGCAACACTTTTATTGAGGAAGAATGAATATTGCTATGATTACGTGGACTGCGAAGAGAGATTTCAAGAAAGGCAATTACCATCAAAAGAAGCCTTTCACAATCGCCTAACGGATGAACCCATTTCGGATCAGGATTATAATCACGCTCTTGAAGTTTGGAATACCATGAAAATGAATAATTTGGGTGACTTTCACGATCTATATGTAATGACGGATGTTCTACTTTTAGCAGACGTCTTTGAACGATTTAGAGACATAACTATGGAAAATTATGGTTTAGATCCCTGTCATTTCTTTACAGCCCCTGGTCTCGCATGGCAAGCTGCGTTGAAAATGAGTGGAGTTTCGCTAGAATTGATTACAGACCCTCTTATTTACAATCTTGTGGAACTTGGAACGAGAGGTGGAATAGCCTCTATTAACCAAAAGTATGCTAAAGCCAACAATAAATATGTGAAAGATTTCGATCCTTCAAAACCATCATCACACATATTATATACGGACTGTGGAAACCTTTATGGGGCTGCTATGATGCAACCATTACCAACGGGTCTGTTTAGACTGTTGAAGGATGATGAAATACAGCAAGTTAATATAAATGAGATTGAAAAGGATGCATCTACGGGATACATCTTAGAGGTGGATCTGGAATATCCCCCCGAACTACATGATCATCATAATTGTTATCCACTAGCTCCATCTCACAAGAAAGTTGAAATGGAAGAGCTGTCTTCTTACAGTCAAAATCTTTGGAAAGACCTAAATGGTGAAAATGCATCTAAAGTCGTCACCAAAAAACTTATCCCTACATTGGAAAATAAAGACCATTACATTCTACATTATAGAAATTTACAGCTATATCTTGAACTTGGAATGAAGGTAACCAATATACATCAGATTGTAGAGTTTCATCAGTCAAGATGGTTGAAGACCTATATTGACTTCAATAGTCAAAAAAGAAAGGAGGCCAATAATGTGTTTGAGAAAGAATTCTACAAGTTAATGAATAACAGTGTTTTTGGTAAGTTTGTTGTTTTTTTTTTTTGCGTTGTAATGTCTTTTACTTTTTTTTATTTTCTAATAAGAAACGAAAAAAATCGAACATTGAATTCATAAAAGCAATTTAAAAAAAAATGAAAATATTAATCGATCTTTTACTTGTAGGAAAGACCATGGAAGATATTCGCAGACATAGAAACGTAAAACTTATGTCAGACCAGAAGAAATTGGTAAAATATACGTCGAAACCGTCCTTTGACCATTTTCAGATATTTAACCAACACCTTGTGGGTATAGAAAACAAAAAAGTGAACATTCTTTTAAACAAACCAATCTATGTTGGTCAGGCAATATTGGACATTTCGAAAGCACTGATGTATGAATTCCACTACAAAATAATGAAGCCCATGTATGGAGAAGATATTCGATTGCTTTTTACGGATACTGGTAAATATTTTATTTTTTTTTATATTTTATGGGGATAAAAGACAAGTAGTACATAAGTTATCAATTTTACCGCTTCGACCATGCATGTTTCAGTTAAATAAATTCAGTCGGCAACAGAATTATTCGGCTAGTCAAAGCTAAACAATGATGTAATTCTTATTTTCTTACAGACAGCTTGTGTTACGAAATCATGACAGATGATGTATACAAGGATATGGAAATCATCAAAGACCATTTCGACTTTTCTGGATATCCTCAAACTCACTACCTATTTTCAAACAAATACAAAAAAATGCCTGGAAAATTCAAAGATGAACTAGATGGTAACTAATTTTATTATTAATCGATTAACAAAAACTTAAAAATAACAAATATTGAATATAAAAAAAACAAAGTCCAAAGAAAAAAAATAATACCATTGAGATTTTTTTTATTTTACAAAAATCTATTTCTTTTTAACCTAATTTTAAACCTAATTTTTAACTAAATACTTGATGAATTTCGTTTTGTTTCAGGCGTTCCAATTAAAGAGTTTATTGGATTGCGACCAAAAATGTACAGTTTGATATATGATGACGACAACACGGAACAGGAAAAGAAAACTGCCAAAGGAATAAAAAAATGTGCCGTCAAAAAACAGTTAAAACATGCCAATTATAAAGAATGTTTATTTCAAAATGCATCGACAATGAATTCAATGAAATTGATAAAAAGTCAAAATCATGAACTCTTTGTCAACCATATTGTCAAAAAAGGTTTATCTAATTTTGATGAGAAAAGATTTTGGATTAATCATATTAAGAGTTATGCCTATGGACATTTTAAAATATGATTAATCCAAAATCTTTATATCAATTATGTTTTATGTTTTATTTTATAATATACTATGTAATTTGAAATAAAATTTTTTTTATTTTTTAAAAACTTTAATGGAATGCCTCAAACAAACTTCATCTTACAGAGAGTACATAGATTTTTTATTGAGTATTTACGTCATTAAATAGACCTAAAAGGTCTACACTGTTCACCTCTTCTATTCTCCTTTTTTTGGGAGCCGTATATGGTGGAGGTGGTGGAGGCATTTCTGCTGATCCCCTTGAGGATGGTAAATTATATTCTGGCTTATAGGTTGCATAGGTTGCAGACCCAAAAGGTTCTTGATCATAGGTTACAGATCCACTAGCTTCGGGTTGATAATTTGGCCCACTGGTACTTTTATTCTCCTAAAATATTTTTTTTATTTATTTTTTTTTTTTTGCATTTTTTTTATATATTTTATAAGTTTTATATATTTTTTTCGTTCCTTAAGCGAAAGTTAGTTCTTCGAAAATGAATATGTGTTTGGTAGAACAAACTTCAAGTCTGATAAGTTATATAATAAGATCAACATACATTATTAAAACCCACCCACCCCCTTATTTTAGCTTTAAGACAGCATTTACATATTATAAAAACATATTTTCAACTTAATTGACTGTTTTGACACCTGAGCTAATACCACTTTTTTTTGTCTCATTGGCAAATACCATTTGTCTCATTGACAAAAAAAAAAAACATTTTTATTTTGTCCTATTGGGCAATTATACCACAAATGTTTTTAAATAAGAAAAATAACTTACTTTGAAGTTTTCTTTTAAGAGTTCAAGCTGGCTTACCAGTTCCCCGAACTGTACAGCTTCTTCGAAAGAAAACGAAATCCGTCCTCCAAAATTTGGTCTATTATCATAGACGTTTATCCAAAATTTCCCTATTGATGACTGCTGCATCAGTAAATTCTTCTGATTTCCAAAGCGGTGGGAAAATTCTATTTTCCCATTTCTCATTTTTTGAAGAAAAACAAACCTAGAGCTATTCTCCATAATAATTATTAATAAAAGACTTTTATTCTATGAGAAATTAGAAATGAGAAAGTCTTTATATATGTACTCTCTGTAAGATGCGATGAAACCAACCCCTTGTCAAGAAAAAATTAACTCCACCCACCCCAAAAAGCTTCATGTCATACCATTAGTCCGTTTTGAAGCATGAAAATTTGAATAATCATTTTGGGAAATTTTCCCACCCACAAATTTCCCGCCAAAGTCCCACAATTTATTCATACAAAAAAATTACACGTGCACATAACACAACAAATATCGCAACCAATAAAGAATGACATTGAATTCATATAACATAAAAATACATACCAGAGGGGAAAAAAAAGACAACGCAAGAATAGGGGAACACTTACACAAAGCATGTTTCTGGCAATAAGGAAGATGTAGAAATTCCAAAATTAAGAAAATGGATTAAAGACATTGAAGAAAGAAACGGGGCGCGACAGACCACTTGGGGAGTGATCAAAGATTTGACACGTCCTGTTGAAACTACATTTATATACCCCGTAGCTTCTGCGGAGAAGATTAGCCAACGAAAAAAGACGATGTATTTAAATGGTTAAATTGTATATATATATTAGTTTATTTTAAATTATTATTTTTCACAACAGAAATTTCTCTCCCTTTGATGGGGTCGTACCACTCAGCAGATTGGAGAGGCTAGGCCCTATTTCTATATCCCGGGAATCCCTCGGGGCACAGAAAAAAAAAAAAGCAAAGCATGTTTTTTTGACAATGAGGAAGATGTAGAAATTCCAAAATTAAGAAAATGGATTAAAGACATTGAAGAAAGAAACGGGGCGCGACAGACCACTTGGGGAGTGATAAAAGATTTGACACGTCCTGTTGAAACTACATTTATATACCCCGTAGCTTCTGCGGAGAAGAGTAGCCAACGAAAAAAGACGATGTATTTAAATGGTTAAATTGTATATATATATTAGTTTATTTTAAATTATTATTTTTCACAACAGAAAGTTCTCTCCCTTTGATGGGGTCGTACCACTCAGCAGATTGGAGAGGCTAGGCCCTATTTCTATATCCCGGGAATCCCTCGGGGCACAGAAAAAAAAAAAGCAAAGCATGTTTTTTGACAATGAGGAAGATGTAGAAATTCCAAAATTAAGAAAATGGATTAAAGACATTGAAGAAAGAAACGGGGCGCGACAGACCACTTGGGGAGTGATAAAAGATTTGACACGTCCTGTTGAAACTATATTTATATACCCCGTAGCTTCTGCGGAGAAGAGTAGCCAACGAAAAAAGACGATGTATTTAAATGGTTAAATTGTATATATATATATTAGTTTATTTTAAATTATTATTTTTCACAACAGAAAGTTCTCTCCCTTTGGTGGGGTCGTACCACTCAGCAGATTGGAGAGGCTAGGCCCTATTTCTATATCCCGGGAATCCCTCGGGGCACAGAAAAAAAAAAAGCAAAGCATGTTTTTTGACAATGAGGAAGATGTAGAAATTCCAAAATTAAGAAAATGGATTAAAGACATTGAAGAAAGAAACGGGGCGCGACAGACCACTTGGGGAGTGATCAAAGATTTGACACGTCCTGTTGAAACTATATTTATATACCCCGTAGCTTCTGCGGAGAAGAGTAGCCAACGAAAAAAGACGATGTATTTAAATGGTTAAATTGTATATATATATTAGTTTATTTTAAATTATTATTTTTCACAACAGAAAGTTCTCTCCCTTTGGTGGGGTCGTACCACTCAGCAGATTGGAGAGGCTAGGCCCTATTTCTATATCCCGGGAATCCCTCGGGGCACAGAAAAAAAAAAGCAAAGCATGTTTTTTTTTGACAATGAGGAAGATGTAGAAATTCCAAAATTAAGAAAATGGATTAAAGACATTGAAGAAAGAAACGGGGCGCGACAGACCACTTATGATTGATTTAGTCTTCTTTTTAAAAGGATATAAAAATAGCAATCAATAATTAAATTGATACTAAACCGAAATGTATTGTATTTTTCCTTCTAGTTAAAACACGCACAAATATAATATTCCGGAATAATTTCACTCTCCTACACATCGTTTATTTATTTAGTATATCCCCTACATAATTAATCTATTTTCAACCAATCAGAGTTTTGTTTTAAAGACATAACAGTGACTTAATACCAACATTTAAATACAACGTACTCAAAATTATTGTTAATTAACAAACTCATGAAAATAATATAAAGAGAATTAATGATATTATTAAAATATGATTCATTTATACCATAGAAAGATAACTGATACTAAAAATTCTAAAAAAACATTTTAAATCTCCTTTACAATATGAAAAGTATCTCTTTAGTATTTAGTCAAATCTCTTTCCCATACAAATGTCATTTCATTTTCGCGCCATATCATGTAAGAAAATTTTCAGTAAACAAACAACAACAAATTGATAAAATGAACATCTTCATCTTCGTTTTGATAGTGCAAGTTATTGCGTCACCTGCACGCAAGTCTGAAAGAATTGGAGAAGATTGTGAGAACGAGAGAGACGCCATACGCTGTCGTTACACTGGAATCAAGGATTACATCTTGAAGAAGCCACGGAAGGAAGTGTCCACCCTAATAATGGATCGCTTGTTTGAGCCATCCACACTCAAAGTAGATGGTATAACAGTACGCATAGAAGACGGGGACATTGAGTGGTGCTGCCACCATATAGAAGGGGCAACAGCTGTTTATGTTCACGATGAACAGTGTGTAAGTCTTCGTTTTTCTTCTTAATTATCCCCTGACTGCTCTTGTCCCTACAATTATCAATGTATTTATTCTTATTTATAAAAAAATAGATAATATTGTATGGTGAAGCAAAGTAAACAAACCAACTTAGCCAAAAAAAAAATGAAAAAAAATGTTTCATTTGAACCCCCCCCCCCCCCCCCCCCCCCCCCCTCCCCTTTATTTTTGTTTTCTTAAAAAAATACTTTCCCTTTAATGAAAACAATGTTAAACATATTCAGACACTGGTTAAGAGAGTTATTTGACAATATTTTTTTATCTAAAGTAAGTTTCTAAATGCTTACCATTGTAGATATTTTTTTCAGCCTACAACTACAGTGAAATCCATTGAATCTTCACTTTCATCAACAACAGTTAACTCTACCATGTCTTCACTTTCATCAACAACAGTTAACTCTACCATGTCTACAGAATTTAAAAATGTGGTATGTATAATTAATTATGATAAAAACAACATTAACACTCATACCATATCTTCTTATTTTTGAAATGAATACAAATTGTTGTTAACTTGACCTGACATTAACATAGAGTAATGATTGAAAATTAATGTTTTCTATTATTTTTCAGACTGTTGGTACCATCATGACAAACATGGAAGGTTGGGTCATTCCCACCGTTTCAATTTTATGTGGTAAGTTTGATAGGATATATATATATCTGAAGTAAATGTTAAAAAAAAATTCACTAATAAGGAAAATCATACACAAGCACTAAGAAATTCAGAAAGTTGGTATTAAACGGAATTGTGAAAAAGACTTTAAAAGTTAACATATGATGATAAATACATTAAGCAAAAAAGAAATACTATTCATAAAAAAATAAATACAATTTAATCAAAATAAAATACAATTAAAGATAAAAAAAAAACACAGAAAAGGAAAATATAATTACACAATAAAAATACTGAGAAGAAAAGTAAGTTCAAAATAACTATCTTTATTTTTTTTTTTCCTTTTCAGTGCTTCTTGTCATAGCATTTGGACTTATGTTATATTGTGCCTACAAAAAAACTAGTATTCATATTATATCTTGTGGCAGAAAAAACCAATAATTGAAATGTGGGAGTTATGACATTTGGACATTCTTCTTTTTTTTCAGTTTTAATTATCCTTTTGAGCACTACAACATTAATTATAATTAAATATCAAAAGAAAAGGACAGTAAACATTGAGCAATTTCAAATGGAACAATTTCCACTGGATCAAAGTTGTGAAAATGATGAAGAAATATCATTAGATGAAACATCAGATATCATTTTTAGTAGATAATTAAATTTTTCAGAATATATATTGACTGTGGTGATGATTGTAGTGGGTATAATTGAAATTATTAGAAAATTTAGACAAAGACTTCAAAATTTACTTCGCCGTCTTGAAAACAATGCTGCACAACCACAACAAGATGCTCAACCACAAGCTGCGCTACCTGCTCAAGATCAACAAATACCCCCCCCAAAATCAACCGATACCAGCTGTCAATGTAATACCAGTACTGAGAAGATCTCAAAGACAAATTAAGCCTGTTATAAGACTGAACTTGTAGTCAATTGTTCTGTATGGGTAAATATTCTATGTGAAGTTTTTTTAACAATGTTGTTGATTCTTTTTGAGTTTTCCTTAATGTTTTAGACATGTTAAAAATCTGGTTTTACCACTACCTATAAAAACATTTAGTTTCAATAGTTCCCATCTTTAAACAATTATATCTTATATCTATAATTTTATTTTTTTAATATAACTGATTTTTATATGGTAGATACCTTAACATGTAAAGTTAAAGCTTAACTATGAATACATAAAAAAAACTTACCATTTTCCCGCCTAATTGTACAAAAGTTCGCGCCAGTTCTAAAAGAAAGTTTTCGCGGTCTTTTCTTTTATATGAAACGTGGGTATGTATCATGTTTTTACATCAATCAATTTTAAGTGTCATGTTACACCTTCAGTCTTGACAACTAAATGATTGGTTATTATAATTATGATACATGGTGTTTATGAAAATAGTATCCGTTGGATCTTGCACTTGACAGGTTTATAGACAACTTTTTTGTTATACATTCCAGTTTGATATTTAAGAGAGAAACATTCATACTTTTGATTGTTTAATTAGTCTCTATAGATCTCATTTTACATATGGACCAATTTATCCAAGTTTGATATTTAAGAGAGAAACATTCATACTTTGATTGTTTAATTAGTCTCTATAGATCTCATTTTACATAGGGACCAATTTATCCAAGTTTAGTATATGGTATATTGTTGCATTTTTATGGTTTTGTCGTGTTTAAGATATCTTTTTTTTATCATACAGACTTTTTTATATGATCATGTGTGTACTTTGATTGTTTCTTTAAATCACATTTAACACTGGGAATCATTTATCCTAGTATGACATATTGCTGCATTTTTTTTTTCAAAGATCAATTTATTTCCTTTTATTTAGAAACCTTTTTGCAAGAAAAAAATAAGATAACTGATTTTATACTTTATACTTTATAATAGTTCAAAGTTTAATATATGTTAATTTAGTGAGCTCAATATATTTTCTCTCAGGTCAAATGTTTTTTTTTATTTACTGATTTTTTACATGGTGTTAAAGATTGATCATATGTATGTATATTGTTGATGTTGTCATATATTGTTTTTTTATAGTCTATTTTACATCATGTAATAAGTGCCAAAATATAGTGTAAATACATAGTAGTATTCATTGCATAATTTTCCTGAAGTCATAATTTCATAATAGCATTCATCACATAATTGTCCTCAACTGGTGTATTTCTTTTAATCAAAAATATCTCGGGTAACATATTTTATTTACTGATTTTTTACATGGTGTTAAAGATTGATCATATGTATGTATATTGTTGATGTTGTCATATATTGTTTTTTTTATAGTCTATTTTACATCATGTAATAAGTGCCAAAATATAGTGTAAATACATAGTAGTATTCATTGCATAATTTTCCTGAAGTCATAATTTCATAATAGCATTCATCACATAATTGTCCTCAACTGGTGTATTTCTTTTAATCAAAAATATCTCGGGTAACATATTTTCGAATGATATATCAGGTTATATGTTTTTATATATTGATGTTTTACAACAATACATTGCATAATTTTCTCAAGTCATATATTTCTTCAATCAAAAAAGATCTCGGGTAACACAATCAGGTTATATGTTTTATATATTGTTTTACAACAATAATGGATAGATGCTTAGGTTGTCTTTTAATATATATATATAGTTTATTGAGAACATGATGTTTACTTGAAAAATAATTTAGACACTTGAAACAGTGATGTTAAATGTGAATAAATTTTAATCTGTTTTAATCATCTTTTTCTTTTTCCAAGCCATTTACTAGCTGTCAAAACAACATATTAGTTTCTATACTCAAGAAGGTATACCAATGTTTACAATGACATCATTCTGACAATTGCTGGAATGTCACTTATTTGAACTTTGATTGACCTCCTCCAAGTTCCTCCAAGCTGCTCTTGTTTCAGAACGTGCACTACAATACTACTATTATTTTTGAATGTTAAAAATCTGAGGTCTAGTAGTTACAGAAGAGAAAGTAAAGAAAAACAAACAGTATCAAACATTTTTTCTGCTAAAATGAATCATTGTTTTTCAGTACATCACAAAGAGAAATTTATATATAAAGAACATACATATTATCCATGTCAAGTTTGGTTGAGATAAGTCTTTAATAGATGTCAAAAGAAACCTAATGGTATGTGCATGTAAATATATGTCTAAACATTGTAAAAAGTGAGCTTCATCTTAAAGTTTTCTGAATTATTGGGGAGATTTTAGAGAAAATATTATTAAATCAGATAAAGGTAAACTCTTGACTTATTTTTCAATTAAACTTTTTTTTTTGGTACAGAAAACATTCTGGAATTAAAAGCATATAAAGACGGACACGCACTATGCAAGATCAGAATAAGAGCACAAAATAGAGACGGATAGATGTGCAAAAAAACTAAATAGATAAATTAAAAAGATTGTGTAAAAAGTACACGCTGGATAAAGTTGAAGAGATGAGAACATTTTATATGGCAATGTCCCCTTTATAATCTCTTGAGAAAAGAGTTATATGATAAAAATTTTATAGGTTAACACAAGTGCCAAGTTGAATTGGCTTTGTGATCAAGAAAACCTAGATATTAAAATCTATTGCAATTTATAACAATAAAATTAACGTTTTGAACTCATAAAACTATCAATATAGTACAAATATGTTTATATGTAAAAAGTAAAATCACAAAAATACTAACCCATTAAGAATATTTGACTGTTAATGTTATATATAATCATACATAGGCCAAATTCGAATTTTATGGCACTAATGATATCCATAAACAGTTGCATATATGCCTCAACATTTCTATATGTTAAATATATATACATATCTGGGGTTTTGCTTTTTCTTTTGTGTTTATTTTTTCTCTATTCTATATTTTGTCAAATATCATTGAGAATTAATAATAATCATTGTAATAAATTATTTGTAATTATACTGCTCTCTTAGGGCGTCCTTGATTGACAATAAAAATATTGTATTGTATTGTATTGTTTAACTGTTATGCTTTTTACTTATATGCGTATGGCTCTGGTCTGGCTGTGATTTAGGATCTTAGAATTGAGATGATTGTAATTCATATGTATATATGATTATCAAAATTAGTATACCAATTATTAAAATCATTGTAATAAATTACTTTACTCTCCATGGGCCCTTTAATTGGAATAAAACTATCTTATCTTATATCTTATCTTATAGTATCTTCTATATTTTGATCTCTCGTGGCGGAAGGGCACCAGTTCTGTTTTGATAAATTCTACACTTCACTTCATGCATGCAGAGAGAATCTGACACAGGTTTACGCTATCATACATGGATCTACAGTTACTTCTTAGTATATGCTTTTTAAAAAATAGAATAACGTCTACCATGAAAGTCAAATACTATCTTATATAACACATAACTTAGAGGGTGATAGAGCAGATTGTTATCCCGAGAAAACATTGTCAACTGAGGCGAAGCCAAGGTTGACAATATCTTTTCGAGGGGTATCAATCTGCTCTATCATCCTCTCAGATATGTGTTATTTTATTTTAATTTATTATACTGAATGTTCGTTTATTACTGTCGATTAAATTTCAAATTCAAAGTAATAAACTATGACGTCTTGTACATAACAACCATCCGTATTTAATAAAGCGCACACTTGATCAAGCGGCTCCGTGAAGGGTAATAGAGTATTTGCCATAGGATAGAGTCGTATTTAATAAAGCGCACACTTGATCAAGCGTCTCCGTGAAGGGTAATAGAGTATTTGCCATAGGATAGAGTCGTATTTAATAAAGTGCACACTTGATCAAGCGTCTCCGTGAAGGGTAATAGAGTAAATTAACACCCTCGTATTAGCCAATCAAAATCTGGCATTTTGACGTGAAGTATAATAAATATATATATCTACCGAGTCGAACAGAACAACCGACTAGCGACTGTCATATTCCTATATGTAACTTATGGTATTTTCGAGACAAAATGTGTGATCAACCACTAAGAGGACTCAATTCCTAAAAAAATTAAAAGTTGTATTTACGGGTTTTGCTGCTTTACTAGATATCCCTCTTCCCTTTTTTTTTGTTTTTTTTTTTTGGCATCATTAAATAAAAGATAGAAACAAAGATGTGCAAGAATTCTCCGAGGCATCAATATCTTGATAGCTAGTCAGGAGTATGTGCACGGAGACGCTTGATTATTTGTGCATTTAATCAAATATAGTTGTCTTGATGCTGAAACTTCATTCTCTCGACTGATATATTTTGCAAATATTTTGCTGCTTCAAAATATCATATAAATGTTCATTAAACTTGATTCCAGACCTGTTTGCTTCATGATTATGTTTTTTTTTTCAATGTAAAATATGCAGTTTTCTAATCGTCAAACATCACAAGTTTGTGTTAATGTGCCTCATAAACCTTTAGTAATTAACTGCATCATAGTACATATGCGTATTTCCGCAACCCTAAGAATTTGCGTGGTTTCAAGCAAGGAGGTTAAACGACGCCTTGATTATATAATTCAAAATAATAATATTCATATCGGAATAATTCTATTTTTATGAATCAGAGGTCTGCACTGCAGTGGACGGCGGATGATGTCATCTATCATTTCTGTAATGACATACACGTACTGTAAATTTAGATAGTTTGGCAGTAGACCAAATTTCGTGTATTTGGCGATAACAAATGTATATGATAAAAGTGCAAAGATTGAACGGATCCAAATAAAACATTTACCAACATAATAAACGCAAGTATTCGATAATCATATTATTTTAAAGTAATCTATAATTGTGTGTAAAGATTATAATTAAACAGATATATTGACACATTAATAATTATCTTTAAATGGAAAAAGGCAATTTCACTAAAATACAATAAGTAGGACCATGTAAGACCAGTAAATCAAAATTGATATCAAATATTAATGATTCTTCCTGGTTACACAACTAGTTTGCTAACTGTAACAAAACATCAATCAATAAAAGTTAAAACTTCATTTCATCAACTTGTATAGTTTGTTCTTATGTTGTACTGTTATTACACCACTCTCCCAGGTTAGGGGAGGGTTTGTCGTTGGGATGAGTTGTGACAGTCGTTGGTTCATATGTCTGTCATATTTGTTTTTCGTAAATTATTTCGTTATAAATTAGACCGTTAGTTTTCTCTTTTGAATTGTTTCACAGTTTTCATATCGGGGACTTTTATAACCCACTATAATGTATTGGTTTTTTCTCATGGTAGAGGGCC